GACATACAAACAGCAAGGTGATCTCAAAACCTTACTTTAATTTAAAAAAGGTTAAAATATACGGTGAAGGCAAAATTGTCCCTGTTCTTAATTATGCCACGAAGACTTGAAGGGAATTGGAGGTATAGCTCGACCATTCTTGTTCTCGGCACTAGATAGAGGTGAATGGTCAGCTTCACGCCGATTTACCCTGGGTGAAAGAGCCACCGATACCCATTAAAATTCGCTTAATAAGGGGTGGAGTTCAACTGGTCCACTCGGCACGGCGGCCGCTGATTGGCCTATTGTAGCCTGCCCCGGGTGATTATGATATTGGAGAATTTGGTGGAATGAAGAGTGGCAGAGGAAACTAAAGTACTCGTAGAAAACCCGCCCCAGTGCCACTTCGTCCACCACAAATCCCACTAGATCAGATTCGGGATCGAACCCGGGTCGCCGCGGTGGGAAGCCAGCGACTAACCGCTTGAGCTATGGCGCGGCCCCAAATTGGGGTTAAGTCATTAAATGTAATTTTTCTGAAGTAGGAGACCAGCTCCGAGTGTTACTGCAGCGATGGGTAAAGGTAAAATGTAAAGTTGTCCCTGGATGGTCGTTCCATAGCTCAGGCGGTTAGTCGCTGGCTTTCCATCGCGGCGGTCCAGGTTCGAGACCGAGTCACTTCATGTGAGATTTATGGTGGACAAAGTGGCAATGGGGTAGGTTTCCTCTGAGTACTTCGGTTTCCCCTGCCAATGTTCATTCCACCAATTGCTCCACAATCACCATCACCTATCATCTGGGGCTGGTACAATAGGCCAGCAGTGGCCGCAGTACCAAGTGGACTCACTCTCACTCCACTAAGAATAATACAAATAATAAAGTTGTCCCTGTACTTAACTAATTACGCATTACATCATGAAGGAGTATGGGCGAGTGGGTATAGAGACCCACGTTTTCTTGACCTCGGCATTAGCTGGAAGTGAGATGTCAACTTCATGCCCCGACCTCTTTACCCCCGAGGAATGAGCCCCCAGTATCAATTGGATAGGAGGTTGTGTGGACATCAGAGACGGTTTGAACGACACGGAGAAGTGAAATTTCTTGATCATACTGGGACTCGAACTCCGACCCCTTGGTCGTCCAGGCAGTAGCCACTCGCTATACCGACTGCGCTATTCCCGCTCTAGGCAGCGATGTGTTTAAATATTTTCTTGTCACTTATTGGAAAATTTCGTGTCTGGAGACATAACCTGGTTTTTATTTGATCATTGTAATAAGGAGGGGGGCACGAGGTTCGGGAACTATGATACAAGCCGGAACGTCGCGGGTTCGATTCCCGATGAATTCATTGCGTTTTTCAATTGTCCTAATCCTTCCATCCGCACTAGGGCCCTGGGGTCGACTCAGCCTCAAATAGAAATGAGCACCAGAAATTTTCTTGGGGGGTAAGGGGCTGACAAACTCACCGCCATCAGTGAGCAGATTGTCTAGAAAATGTAGGATCCTCGATGTCTCACAACCATATGAACCTCCACGGCTCTCCAGGGATAGCTCTACCCTTTTCTATGATAAGGAGCACTTCTTGATATATTACACTTATTTCAATTTCAGAAATGTTTGATGTCACAATTCCGTAGCACAACTGAAATACAGGAGCGGGGGATCCAATAAGTTGGAAGCAGTGACTTATGCTTTTCAGAGCAAATTCAGCGAAATATATTTCAATGTACATTAAACCCTCGCTCAACGCGGTGAAAACTTCCCTTGAGAGCGGCCCAGGCGGTGAATTCTAGTGCAACGAACTTTATGTGGGATGAGGTTTGAGCCCATATAAGCATTGTGACACATCCTGCATAAAACAAACCAAGTCAGTTACACAGATACATACACAAAAGCTAAACCTTCTTCAGCTTCTTAAAACAATAGCAGTGTTTTCCGTACTTTGGGAGGTCGCGTATAAACGAATTATCCGCGTTCCGCAAATATTAATGAGTTTTCATTCATGTAACTGTTGATGAGCGTCAGAGGAACTGAGGCAAAAAGAAATTGAATAAAGCACCAATAACATTCAATCTCGAAGAGTTCTATCTTCTGAGATATAACGACGTGTAGTTCGTTGAAAATCAACAGATTTGATGGTTTCTTGCTCGGTTTACCCTGAAGATGGAGGCGACATTTTCCTCTGAAACGTCAGTTCCTTACAACGGACTGCGCTGCGATATATCCCTGAGGATACATGTATAACAAACAGTTCATAACTGCCGGTATGCGAACGTAATTTTCTTACATATTTAATCTTAATCAGTGCTTAAATACGAGTAATTTTTTTCGTACTTCGTGAATGCTGGCATAACTACTTGTTACAGGCCTCGAGTCCACAGGAGAGAGCTGCGCGTTCAGGCAGGACGTAGGGCCAACCTTCCCTCATGTCAGTGGTCACTGTGGGTTCAATTTCAGACGGTGGAACTTGAAGTGGGCACATTTTACCAGAAAACGCAGGACATTCCGTACTCTGAGTGCTGCGAAGGCTATTACTAACTTGATGGAGCTGAGCCTTTCTTGAGAAGCCACCAGTCGTGCAGCTATTCAAGAACTTCCCAGCATTTCATGGAACCAGAAAGTTAATTCTCATGTTCACAAGATCTCTCCACTAGACCATATCCTGTGCCAGACCAATCCAGTCAATACCACCCTATTTTATATAAGATCCATTTTAATATTATCCAACCACCTACGTCTTTGTCTTCCTTGTGTTCGCTTTCCTTCTGGCTTTCCCACCAATGTCTCTCTTCCTCTTCCCCCTCATTCGTGCTACATGCCCAGTCCATTCATCCTCCTTGACTTCATCATTCTTATTTTACTTGGAAAATAGTAGAAATTATGAAGCTCCTCATTATGCGGTTTTCTCCAACCTCCTGTCACTTCATCCCTCTTCGATCCAAATATTCTCAACACCCTGTTCTCAAACACCTTCAGTCTATGTCCTTTCCTTAATGTCAGAGACCAAGTGTCACACCCATACAGAACAAAAGGCAGAATTATAGCTTTGTATATTCTAATTTTCATGTTTTCAGTCAGCAGACGAGAAGACAAAGTTCTGGACTGAATGGTAGCAAGCATTTATGTAGAACAAAATGCTCCTGGAAAGCGTGTGTGGCTGACCGCGTACAACGAATGTCAAAGCCAAAGCAGTAGAGTCACATAAAGCGAATATATACTCCAGTTCTGCTTAGATTAAGAGGATTTCAGTAACCGTGAGGCACGTAAACTTGGCCATCAAGCGGCGGTCACTGCCACTTGCGTTCACTAAGTGCCTGGTAGTTCTTCAGGGAATTAAATGCACAGTGGCAATTTCCAGAAGAGCCCGAGATAAAGCAATAATTACATTTGATACCCTTTTATTCGGAATAAGGGCGTGTTCCTATAGCTAAGGCTATTAAGGGGCACAGCGGAAAAAATCCACTGTTACGTAATATGGAGTGACTGTAGACGGGGTTTTGTATTGGATATTGGATTTATTGACCACTTATACACACAACTCGGAACTACAAGTAATTACATAATCATCGCAAATCTCTGCAATTCACAGATCACCACAGCACCAGCTACATATTTTCCAGCCTGCTGTGTCTTAACCAGTCGTTCCTTGCCAATGGCTTCTAACAGTAAAGATTCTTCAGCTTCACGCGCTGCAATCTACTCTGAACGGCGGCTTCCTTCCAACTGCGAGGATATGAACAGTTGAACACAAAATGTCCATGCAGGTAAATGATGGGAGAGTACCTCGATCAGATCAGACCGTTTCTTTGCAAATGCTTTCCAATTCCACAGTCGTACAGCCACACGGCCTTACACAGTGTATACAGACGGTGTCACAAATTTACGCTTAACATACATCCTCCCAACTACGTCCACTAAATCTGGCTAAAAGTCAACGACTAATGCAAGGAAATATTACTTCAAGTTTACCAGTTACTGTGTAGAACAATTTAACGAAATGCCGAACACTATCTGAGAAGCCGCCTGAAAGTTCATTGCCTTGTTCACGAGATCACTCAACTGATATCTATCCTGAGCCAGGTCAATCCGGTCCCTACCACCCTATCCTATCTCTCTCAGATTCATTTTAATATTATCAACCCACATACCTCTTGGCCTTCCTAGTAATCTCTTTTCTTCTGGCTTTCCCGCCAGTGTCATATAAGCATTCCTATTATCCACATTCGTGCTATATGCTCTGTCAATCTCATCCTCCTTGATTGGAGCATTCTAATTATTCTTGACAAAGGGTACATAATATGAAGCTCTTCATTATGCAGTTTTCTCCAACCTCCCGTCACTTAATATCCTCTGAACACTCTGGTCTGAAGTATTTATGTTCCTCCCCTAACGTCAGAGATCATGTTTCACACCCCTACAAAACAACAGGCAAAATTATAAAGAAAAAATAAAGGTATCCCTGTAACAGGCCGTGGAGGCCTATATGATTGAGACGTTGAGGATCCCACACTTTTAAGACAATAGGCTCACAGATGGCGGTGAGTTTGTCAGCCTTGTGGACCAGCCGCTCTTTACCCTTAGGAAGATTCCTGGTACTCATCTCTGTTTGAAGTTGAGTCGACCCCACGGTTATATTACTGCTAGAAGGATTAGGTCAATTGAAAAAATCCAATGACCCCAATGATCTTATCGGGAAACGAACCCGAGACCTTCCGCAGGCAAAATTATAGTTTTGTATATTCTAATTTTTACGATTTGAAACAGCAGATGAGAAGACAAATTGTTCTGGACTGAATGGTAGCAATCATTACCCGAATTCAGTTTAGAAATGATCACTTACTAAGCGTAAATCTATAGTTGGCTTCGAACAAGGCGAAGAGAGGCGAGTGGCGGTGTTGGGAGAATTCATATAGATGTGGCGAGTTCGCGAACTTTATTGTCAGACCTCGTACCCTTAACAAATACATAAAGCATCAATTCATTCACTCATTGAAGCATGAAGGGTTAAGCGCTGTACTCACTGATGCATTTCTCGCCACGGAATCCACACGGAGGTTCTGAGATGGGTGGACGACCACTGACCCATTCGATGCTGTCTGTGAGCTGCAGATCCTGAAACGGGGGACATGAAACCAATAGAAGGAACACAAATTCCTGAGTCACTGTACAGCCAAACACTTGGCACGGTGCAGTGAAAACCCGTCCAAACGAACCATAAGTTAGACGGTAACTGTCGTCTATTATACAGTGTATCCACAAAGTCCCTTGGGGTTTTGAAAAATTGTGGCGCGCAAACAAATTCAGCTAGTCACATGCGGTTTGCGGCAGATAATCGTGAAATTCTGGAAGTTTTCTTTTGCCGCCAAAAGATGGCATAAGCGGCCATTTTACGTTTCTCAGTCAGTTGTTTTTGAAATGGCGACTATGCAGGAACGCACGCGTTGTGTAGGTTGGCTTTTTGAGGCAAAATCAGTCACCCAGAATCAACGAAATTACCGCACACAGTTCAATAAACACCCTCCGAGTGACAAAGCAATAAGACTGGCAACGGCGTTTCCTAGACACTGGGAGCGTCCATGATCGCAAGTGATGTGGCAGACCGGCTGTAACAATGAATGTGTGGAAAGAATCCGTGAATCGTTTGTATGAAGCCCTACAAAGTCCACACGTCGAGCTTCACGTGAATTGCTACTCCACGTTCAACGAAACACAAAGCACTACATAAGAGATTGAGGTTGTGTGCATAAAAGGTTCAGTTAGTGAAACAGTTGAAACGTGCTGATGGCATGGCACGCCAACATTTCGCAGGAAAAATGCTCGACCGCATTGACCTTGATGTGGACCTCTTGAAGAAATCATGTTCACAGACGAGACAACATTTCATGTCTCGGGTAAAGTTCACAGGCATAGTGTGCGCATTTGGGGCACTGAAACCCCAGATGTTGTTAGGGAACACATACGCCATAGTCTGAAAGTGAACGTGTAGTGTGGTGTAATGCATGGCCAGGTTATTGGATCCTTTTCTTTTCAAGAGCAGACGATCAACATGAACACCTACCTGGACGCAGTGCCACAAACTGAGCACCTGCATCACTCTGCAAAAAGATGATGCTCCACCTCATTGGGGCCTGCAGGTCCTAGACAGGACATTTCCAGGAAGATGGATCGGCAGAGACGGTCCAATGCCTTGGCCTCCACGTTCACCAGACATAACATCACTGGACTTTATCCTCTGAGGTTATATCAAGAGCAGTGTGTTCCGAACATCAGTTAACGGACTTGATGACCTGAAGGCCCGTATCAGGAATGCGATCTCGGCTATTCCAGCGGACATGCTCCACAGAACATGGCAAGAGCTCGAATATTGTCTGGACGGTCTCCGTGCTACCAAGGGAGCCTACATCGGGGCCTATTGAGGTCAGTAAGAACTTCCAGAGTTTCACTATGATCTGCCATAAACCTTATGTGGCGGTTTGTTTGGGGGCCACAATTTTTTAAAACGTCGAAGGGCCTTTGTGGACACACTGTATAATGATCACGGACATTTCGGAGGAGAATTTTACTTCCACCTTAATTTTCGAATAGTAAACCAAAAAATAAATAAAAAATAAACAGAAAGCTGAGATGAAACTCTTTCGGTAGTACTGGAATTATAGGAAGTTTATTTTCTCATCTCGGCACCAGATGGAGGCCAGCTTCATGCCCCGGGCGCTTTACCTCCAAGGATTAGAGCTCCTGGTACCCTTTGGATAGGGGGGTGGGTGTATAGTATAGCCAGTATAGACGTTGTGGAGGAGAGATAATCTCTTGTCCTTGTAAAGGACATAAACTCGGCGGTCCAGTCAGTAGCCCGTCGCCTTACCAACAGAGCTATCCAGGCTCCATCTCACACTTTCAGAGGGATGCATCGTTTGTGTTTTCAGTGTAGAAGAGGCAAGCATAACTCTTGTTTACCGCCTGATTCTTCCACGTTTCTCGCTTTCCTTATTGTCTGACTTGGAAAATTGAGCCGAGATGTCTGAATGTTTCAAAACTACAAGGTGTTAGAATCCAGAACACCGCATTCTTCATATAGACCGCCGTGAGAACAAACAATTGCACACGAAGTCCAGCAGTAAAAGAGGTAAAGCTATCTCTGTAACCTCCAGTGAAGACCCATATGGTTGTGAGACGTCGAGGCTCCCACATTTTTTAGAAAATCGGCTGAGAGATGGCTGTAAGGTTGGCAGACTTACGCGCCGCCAGCCCATTACCCCCAAGAATATTCCTGGTACTCATTTCTGAGTCGACTATAGGATCATAGTGAGGCTGGAAGGATTAGGTCAGTTGAAAGATCCAAATACATCGGGAATCGAACCCGCGATCTTCCGGCTTGTAGCATAGTGCCTCAAACAACTACGCTACCGCGTTCCCCAATTTGACTATACGGTTAATAAATTAATATTTACTTATATTTCTTTACATTTTCGTTTAGAATTTCAGTACAGCATCTGAATTTTATTGAAACGGCTATGTGAATTCAAATGCTGTATTGCTTTATCTCCTACGGGTAATGCCGGGTTTTAACAGGAATTAATGTTGAAATTTTGAGTGATGATTTATTTTCATTTCGGCCGTTTAACAGGAAGCGAATTCCAGGTTGGAGCAGAGAAGGGACGTTATATCCCCAGAAAAAGCGTCACGTAAACTATTAACGTAATTAAATTGAAAGGATCAATAACATCATAATAAAATTATTGCGGAGTAACCCACAATTTCAATTCCAGAAATCGCGTTTGCTAGCATGCTTTTCTACGTATAAGGTCACAAATTTGGAAATGTATACAAATATCTTCGAAACTGGTCTTCTGGTTGTTGGCAATCCAATCTCCATGTCATTGTGACACTGTAAAACGCGCCTCAAGTTCGCTCCTAATTAGAGTCTATCCATAATTAACTCCATGGAGCTGAGCCCTTCTCCAGAAGCCGTCAGTTGTGCAGCTAATCAAGAAATTACCAGCAATTTATGGAAGCCGAAAGTTCATTACCGTGTTCACAAGAGCCCTTCACTAGACTCTTTACTAAGCCAGATCAGTCCAATCCATACCACCTCATTCTATTTCTCTAAGATCCATTTCAATATTGTCCACCCACCCACGTCTTGGTCTTCCTAGTGGTCTCTTTCCTTCTGGCTTTCCCACAATATACTATATGCATTCCTCTTCTCCCCCATTCGTGCTACATGCCCTGTACACCTCATCCTCCTTGACTTGACAATTCTAATTATACTTGGCGAAGAGTACAAGTTATGAAGCTCCTCATTATGCAGTTTTCACCAACCTCTCGTCACTTCATCTCTCTTCGGTCCAAATATTCTCCTCAGGATCCTGTTCTCAAACACTCTCAGTCTATGTTCCTCCCTTAATGTCAGAGACCAAGTTTCACTCCCATATAGAACATAGTCCATTCACAAAAACAGACATAATATAATCTGTTCTTGTACAATAAATGGAATCATATGATATAAGTGGAATCCAAACTGAGGATATGTTAACACAATGCATCTGTGTGAACAGGAGCGACGTAACCACCACCCAGTGATAGTGTGAATCAAACAGATGCATTAAGCCAATGAATATTTTGCAGGGACAGCCCCAACGTGGATCATCATTTCGTGATGCTTGTGGCCTGTGATCATCATGACAACGGATCCCACTACTAGCCTAGACCTACCTAATTAACAGATAACTTCGTGTCGTCTTTACACCACAAATCCCTTAACAGATAAAAGTGGGAGGGGAAATGTTATAGGTGTATGATGACAAAATTTTCGAGGAGAGCTGCCGTGTGTTTATGGTAACGACGGTTGACCGCCCCATAGCTCAGGCTGTTAGTCGCCGACTTCCCACTGCGGCGGCCCGAGTTCGAGCCCAAGCCAAGTCATGTGAGATTTGTGGTGGTCAAAGTGGCACTGGGGACAGGTTTTCTCCGAGTACTTTAGTATCCTCTATCAATTCTCATTACACCGACTGCTCCACACTAATCATCTGTTATTCGGGGCTGGTACAATAGGCCAGTAGTTGCCAGCGTACCACGTGGACTCAGTCTCACCCCCACCCAAAGAAATAAAAAAGAAAAGAGGATATGTTCAAGATATTGTTAAGTTGGAAACCAAATTAATTCGGAGTCAGGAAAGAAGCTGGGGAAATAACTTCCTTCAAGAAAGACAGAGCTTTCAAATTCACCCCAGTTATGACAGAATCACTCAAAATTTAGTCAGCAAGTACTTACCAGAAGTCTGTTGTCGTTCTTCTTGAGAGTAAATACCCCTACAGGATACAGACCATATTGCTGGGGGTAAATGTGGTGTGGCTTTCGGGCCAGAAGTGTGTAATTGCCCTCCGCGTCTCCGTTCTGGTCCATGTACACCATGTACCTGTAACATGACGTCATAACATTACGTATCAATATGGCGGTTCCGTTCTGGTCCACGTACGCTATGTACCTGTAACATGACGTCATGACATTACGTATCAATATGGCGGTTCCGTTCTAGTCCACGTACGCTATGTACCTGTAACATGACGTCATGACATTACGTATCAATATGGCGGTTCCGTTCTGGTCCACGTACGCCGTGTATCTGTAACATGACAGCATAACATTACCTATCAATATGACGGTTCCGTTCTGGTCCACGTCTGCCATGTATCTGTAACATGACAGCATAACATTATGTATCAATGTGGCGGTTCCTTTCTGGTCTATGTACGCCATGTATGTGTAACATAACATCATCACATTACGTATCAAAAAGACAGGTCAATTATCGAAAGAATTGTAATGCAAAATTAGCCGAGATCACTAAGTCTCTTAAGGTAATAAGGCAACAGTATATTTTACACGGACATTTTACCGTAAGTGCTGGATTGCGCATGATCACGCAGAAGCTGAGACAAGAGAAGAGAGCAACTGTAGTCTCTACCTCACGGTTTGCTACTCATAGAGTCAAGTAGCAGACTGACCTGCTTCATCGCTTTGCGCATCTTTTGACCAAGAGAACTCATCCGTGTTCGTGATTGCGCTTAGAGGATGAAGATTGCTTCTGAGTGCATGCCATCAGTGTGGCGCGACCAGCAGCGATGCGGTTGTGCGTTAATTCTCTATACGCTTCTATATCGTTCCATAACGTTCGATAAAGTTTGCCGTGATGTGAGAGGACATTCCTGGGAAGATCCGAGTCTAAGCCACCTCACTTCTCCAATGCTTCCGCTGTATGAGGGAAATTCGCATCGTGACGGCAATAGGGTTGCTCTTCGCGTCGAATAGAGTGGGGTCAGTGGGTTGATCGCTGTAGTTTCAACGCAAAAATGTGCTAACAGACTACTTAGTACAGTCCCAAAGTCGAAGGCACGCAAATATTTAAACAATCCTCTATTTTGATTACCGATCACAGTGGCCGGGCGATCTAAGGCATGAAATGTCGTCGCCCGCTTGAACACAGAGATCGCGACTTCGAATCCCACTCAAGGCATGCATGTCTGTGTTCTGTGTTTGTGTGTAGGTAGCGGCCTTGGATATGGCTGATCCCCCTTCAGAGGAGTTTTACCGATTGTCTTTGATTAAGAAACTGAGGTCAAATAAAGCGTTTCACGAATGCCCCATGCTCCAGGTGGGAGCAGCAGGAACGGAAGAAGGGAAGGAGCGAGCAGATATATTGTGACATGATTAACAAGAGACGTCATCCGTTGCTAGGCAATTGCACGGTAAACGCGATATGACGTCACTGCCATTACTACTCACAATAAACACATAAGAGTAGAAGAACTGTTGGAAGCGGTGTTTTCTACGAAATCCGATCCGAGGCTACATAGCGAGATGCCGTCGAGAGTTGTGGGGAGTCTCCCGTGTGGAGGCGGTTTCGAATACCTCCACTGTAGCCCTGCGAGTCGTAGGAGGAGACGAAAAGAGAACCCAGTGCCTGGGGGTATAACTGGGTCACCCTGTTCCTGGGGTTTATAAATACGGGGACCTGGTCCTCCAGGTTGGGGGAGTCTCGAATCTGAGACAGTAACATATAAATCATGAATACCGTGGGACTAGGACCTGAGAATGGCTGCGCTAACTAGGGCCAGTAGCAATTGTAAACGAGAGACTCGTCCTATCGTTAGAGAGGGCGGCCCACTTCAGCAAATTCGCAACTGTCTGACAGTAATAAAAATCTGGTCTTGGGCCCTAGATGTGGGCTTGACAACAAGATAAACTGGCCGTCTGACCGTCGGTCGTAACACAACTTTGACTTTGACTTTGGGGAAGTATTAGTGGACGGCCAGCGAGACGCACTGACCAGTCACTGACGGCTAGTGTTGCCACGAGCAACTGAGAGTCGTCAATTGAATTAGTTGTGAGACAGGCGTCTGCCGGTAAGAATATAAACAGACGACATTGTTGTGATCCGTTATCCAGTAACGGATAGTGAAGACACAAGATTTAGCGTGTGGTGTAGTGGGAAGCTGAGTGCGCAAATTAGCGAGAGCGCTATAATTACGTGTGGTTACGATTTGTAACTGTTCAACAAATCCAGTTACCAATCCAAATCCCGTCTATACGACGTAGTCATTAACACGTGACAGTATGTTGAGCGGAGCTGAATTAACAATGAAAACAGTAAAGAGTACTTGGGGCGTAATTCCTTATAGTCCTTGCAAGTCAGCCGACGTTTCGGATATATTAATCCCTGTGTATCCATAAGCACCACGCCATGAAGACATATAGGAGAATAGAGTAAGAGTTCCATCTTGGTGGAGTGGCCAGCTTCACTCACATGCTGGCTTAGTACTCACTGTGTAGGAGGCGGGTGAGCGCACAGCCGGACTGAACACCACGGAAAACAGATAAATCTCTTGCCCCTGCCAGGGCTCGAACCTAAATGATTCGGTTCTCCATCCCATAGCTTTGTCACTATACTGACTGACCTATCCCGACTTTACAGCTTAGGATATCATTATCAGAATTAGTTACCGTGTGTGTCCAGTTTCATGTCAATATACGTGTTTTGCCCGTTGACGTCCGTCCCGAATGATCGTCATCATCAGTCAATGTTCGGCCATTTTTAAAACGCTTATACCAGTAGTAAATTTGTGCCTGGCCAAAACTGTTTTCACCAAAAGCTTGCTTCAACATTTGGTGCGTTTTTGCAGCGGTTTTCCCAAGTTTGAAACAAAACTTTATACAGACACGCTGCTCTCTCAGGTCAGCCATCGCAAAACCGCAAACTCACGGAAACACAACAATGGAAATACGTTCACCAACAACAAACCCAACCACTCAACTCGACGCCGCTTGCCACACTGATTCAAGAAGGATGTGTGAGGAGACACTTAGCGGTATTTCGATGTATTCATAACCATTCGCGAGCAAAATTCAAATTTCGGAAACTTTTGGATTGCCCCACTAGCCATTCCATGTGGTCTTGTATGTGGACACTGAATTTTGGTAAAAAATATTCTGAGCGCGAGACGAACATCATCTCCCTTCCCCCTCGCGTGGGTATATAACCCAATCAATTCATTACTTCACACAGTTCAACCTTATATATTCCTCCAAAACTCTGACATCCGACAACAAGTTCATGTGGCATCACAAGCCAGCAAGAATTATGAAACTAGCCACTGTTGAAACCTTGAAAATTGGAATTAATAGTTAAAATTTTCTTGTTATGTTCTCCGGTTTGTGGCCCTTTCGAAACTGCCCCACCCGACGTCCGGCTAAAAAAATCTAGTGCCCCTGACTTAGTTCACTCTGTTCAGCATCCTTGTCCTCTGACAGCGGCCCCCCCCCATCCATCGCCTAGGGACACTGGGCCCCTGTACGTACTGAACACAAATTCTTCAGAACGAATGAAATGCATACTGCGAAGAGAAGTCTGTTTCACTTCTCAGTCTATTGTTCAGTGTTTCTATGAATCTCCGGCATAATGATGCGGGGAATATTGATTTTCAGTCAAGATTTATAGATATAGATATAGATATAGATATATGATGAGAACAGAAAAGCGCAGAGAAGAATAAACATGGCGCCAGGTCTCTGTTTAGTCACGCTGCTTTGAAGACGGAATATTCAAGTTTTTCTAAAACCTCATGCAGTCCAACTACTGTAAAAACGAGGTTGTGCCATCTTCAGTTAGCGATGTCGACCGTTAAGTCATGATCAGAAAGTTACTAGATTCTGAAGAATGCCGGCTTCTAGGATGTGGCGCCGTGTAGATCTTGTGTGAACCGACGATTCGGAAGAAATTATCGCCTCCATTTTCAGGGTAGAAAATCCAGTCAAGAGAAAGGCAATACAACGGCACACAGCAGTTCAGTTGTTGGCAGGATATAGCCACGTTTAGTTGGTTGTTGAAGAAGAAGTCGGCCTCTGAAGACGTAAAATGTAGTTAGAAGATTTAGTCACAGCGAGACCCATTGAAATTCCGTTACCAGCAGGCGACCAGTGAAGACTGGGAATCCTGGTGCGTGTGCAATGGTGAACTGTAAATTGCGTAAATCAGCGATAGCGCTGTATTGATTGTATTAAGAGATTATAACCGAAGAGCTAATAAACACAATCATCCGATCCGGAACCCGTTATGCCCCACTTGTGTCACCGGCCATGTGACCAATGTATAAACAGGGCTTCTGTTTCGTAAGGTTGCTTACACAAGTTCAGACATACTTACACATGCTTTTCCTCCGGTACGGTTCACAAAAAACTGCATGACCTACCCAGTTTCGTGGAGAGGCTTTCCTTGCCCATGAATGAAAATAATGTTAAAGACACTGATCGGAGACTGTACAAGTTAGTTCAAAATATAACGTGTTCCAGATAAGGAGTCCGGGTTTACAACAATGATTTTCGCTTTTCTGATTGTTATTTCTAAGGATCAGTGAATTTAAAAACACTGTGGCATATTGACCCGTTTCTAGACAAAGACCGTGAAACGAACAACACAACAGCGGCTGCTAAGTAACGGTCCAGCAAACAAGCATGTTTCCACAACAACAATTGCATTGTAACAGAGGAACAGTGTTTTCTAGGCGGTCCTTTCCGAAATGTTGTAAGCAGAGTCAACATATAGTCAGTCAGTGACCCATGTGGAGGCGGGTTCGAATACCTCTACCGTGACCCTGCGAGTCGTAGGAGGCGACGAAAAGGGAAGTCTCAAATTTGAGACAGTAATATATGGTCTCTAGTACCAAGGGTCTGAGATCCGAGAAAGATTGCGCTGGAAAGGACCAGCAGCATTTGTACAAACGACAGGCCCGTCCTCTCGTCAGACAGGGCGCCCNGTTAGAGATGGCGTCCCAGAAAAAAAAAACAAGACCGTAACTATCAAACAGTAATAAAGATCTGGTCGCAAGCCCCAGATGGGCGATTTATTCCAAGACAGACTGG